GGGCTTCCTTAAGGAGCTAGGGAGAGGGCAAGGTCGGGGTTCTGGTAGAGAGCATTCGGGCATATCAGAGGCTCTGGGTCTGAGCCCTGGAAATACACCAAAAAAGCAATCAAAAGTAAAAGACACAGGGCTGGAGCGATAGTACGGCGGGTAGGGCGTTTGCCTTACATGCAGCCGACCCAGGTTCGATCTCTGGCATCCCACACAGTCCCTGGAGCACCACCAGGTGTAGTTCCTGAGTGCAGAGCCAAGAGTAATCCCTCAGCATCAGCGGGTGTGACCCAAAATGCCAAAAAAAAAAAAAAAAAAACCACCAAGTAAAAGACAACCACCTAATCCAGTCACTCCACTTTGGGTATGCAAAATAATAGAAAACTATTAATACAAAAAAGCAATACCTAACCCCTGCTGTCTGGCACAACATCATTTGCAACAGCTAAAACACAGAAGCAACCCAAGTACCCAGTGACAGATGATGGGAGAAAGAATGGGTGGTGTACTGACACCAAGCAACACTACTCCACTATACGAAAGAGATGACGCTTTGTCATTCACAGAAAAATGGAAGGAGTTTGAAGGAATTAGGTGAAATGAAGTTAAGCCTCAAGAGAAAACACTTACTGGATGATTTCGCTTCTATGGGCACTGAGATACAAAACTGATGAACAGATAAAAGCAAAAACAGTGGTCAGGTCCCTGATACGAGAACTAAGGGAAGGAGGAGACCAGGGTTGGAGGAAGAACCAACGATGGTTCTGGTTCAGGATGGGACCGATGGAAACGCATGGGCAAGGAACCCTACTGGCAATGCTTTGCTTGAAACATAATGGGAGTTTTAGCAGTAATCCTTCCTAGGTCTTCAGCAGTCATTTCCCAAATGCAAGATCCTTCTAAATCACAATCCACATACACTCTTCACATGAACTTTTGTGAACCTTTACAACAAAAGAAATTTTAGCTCAAAATTCTATCAACTGCGAGGAAGCTGGTGTTGAAACTAAAAATTCTCATCTTCATCAACACTGTTGTCATGAACATCCCCTAACACATTAACTCAAGTGCTCTCTGCAAAGCAAAGTGCTATTTCTGCATTATTTCAATGAAACGTCAAACAAGCTCTACCTGGCGTATATCATTTTACAGTGGAGGAAATAAATCTACCCACCGATAGGCAGAGCAATCTAAGTGGTAAAGCCTGGATTTACCAAAATTCAGATCCGTATGGTTTCAGAAAATACACCCCCAAACCTCTAGACCTCTGTGTTTTTCAAACCTCTGGTCGCAATTCGATAGAGGCTCATGAAATCAATTTATTTGCTCAGCATTACTAAGTAAAGAACAGCACTTCGATTTGTTTATTGTTGTTCTGGTAGCGTGGTTACAAAAGCACTAACCTACAAAGCCACTGCACTTTGTGGCACTTGGATTTGAATACACAAGGACAACCACCAGGAACTATGGAAAGCACCCACATCGGAGTAGGCGGGGCTGTTCTGTTTTGTTTTGTTTTGGGGTTTGGGGCCATGTCTGGCTGGGCTCAGGGATCACTCCTGGAGGTGCTGGGAGATCATATGAAAGGTGCTGTGGAAGGACCATAGTGGTGGGAGGGGAAGCAAAAGAGGTCAAGGAGAATTCCTTAACCCCTGCACGATTCTGTTGAACTTCTGTTTCTTGTGTGAGCACTTATTCTGCAGGTGGCTTCAGAAAAAAAAAAAAAAAGATTACAGACTCCAAAAACCACAGGGTCCTGCTGAGACTCCCAACTCAGGCCAGATTCTATTTTCTTGTAGTACCTTGGGGTTCCGGTAATCAAAAGTGACTGAAGTTTGCCAATGCGAATACAGAATGGATGGTGGGCACTAGGACAAAGAAAGGAATATATTCTCTTCCTTCCTGAGACATTTTCGAACATTCCTCTTTTAAAAGATTATTTCGGGTGAGTGGGATGCTCCCAAGTGATACTCAGCCAAGTAGGCAGCCAATTCAATGTCAGGGTCCGAGGACGGGGTATTGCTTGTGGATGACCTGGGAACCCACACAGCTGTAACCAGCAGTGCTCGAAGTTAGGGGGAGGGGACTGTGCATAGCTAGAGATCAAATGGGGTCAGGTGCCTCTTAGCCCTGTCATTATCTAAGGCCCCAAACAGTCCCTATATATGGGAAAAAAAAAAAGAAGAAACACCACTATTTTCCTTTCATCCTCTTCATCCACTTCTCAAGTCCCAATTCTAGCACCTACTAATCTATTTTCTGTATTTATGAACTGGAAGTGTTAGCTTCCATAAATAAAAGAGATCAGATGGTCTCTTTTTCTATCTGACTTATTTCATTTAGCATCATGCCCTTGAAGTCCATCCATGACAACACAAACAGCACTACTTCATCCTTTTTTATATCCAAATAATATTCGTGTGTGTGTGTGTGTGTGTGTGTGTGTGTGTGTGTGTGTGATACCAAGTCCTATATCCATGATCCCCGGCTAGACCTCAGCCTTTTCCTCCTTTGGGCTGCAGCTAACACACTGCTTCAAGTAATAAATCTGTATCTCCTGCCCTTGAGTGTTGATATGCCTTCCTCCATGGAAACGAACGTTCCCTACTGTTAGACACCTACATGAATATTATTACACAGGTAGGTAGCCCTGGAGAGTTGCACCCTGCTGGCCCCACGAAACCCAGTGCAGCCCATTCAGCAATCCTGGGCATGCACTAGATAGGCACAGTCTGGCACGGGAGCCCCACGATCCACACAGGGCTGCGGAACCCCTACGCCGTGGCCCAGGTGGCTGAGGCTCTTGTGTCACCAGACAGGGGCACCGAGACCAACCAGATGCTCCGGTGTCTGTAGGACCCAAATGTGTGAGGAGACGCCTCCTGATGACGTTCTGTCTGGGAAGAGTCTGGCGGGGAAGGGCTGGATGCAGAGGGCACAGCCTGCAATGGAGGCAGACCCCAGGTGCCCCACAGACCCCTGGGTTCCCCACAGTGCTCTCCCCCTCACTTCGAGGCTAGATGGTGCCACACACCTTGGGAGGTTACTTTTAAAACTTTTTTATTTTATAAAGTAGTTCGCTATATTTAATATTCAAACACAAGTCCCACCACCAATACACCTTCTCACCACCATATTTTGGATGTTTCCATCCTGAACCCCAGTCCCTGCCCCCAAGCAGAACCGAAAAAACTTTATGAAAACCCACTGAAAATGCTACCGAAAAGTTTCCTCAGAGGAAAGAGTGTGAAGATTGTTGTATTTCACCCAGGGGCCATTAAGCCCTTCTATAAGAGATCACTAACATGTCGAATTTATTACTAGTTCACTAGCTTCGCACCCAAATCCCCACTGCAGAGAGCTGCCCCCACCCCCACCACTGCTGAGGGGGAGCTCAAAGGTCCCCAGCAGTCCAAGGCTCTGAGTGACCTCCAGACCCTGAGGCCTGACTGGGCGGGGACCGCTTAAAGAGGCATGCGAGCCCGATGGCCTGGTCTGATAGTGTAAAAAATATTATCAAAAAAAAAATTTTTTTTACCCCCTTTCCCCTTGAAGAAAGGGTCAGGAGGGAATCCAAGAGCTTTCCTTTTCTCTCTGCATCACTTGGGACCTTCTCCAGTCGCTTTCGGCTCTGCCATCAAGCCAGGTCAACTGGCCCATAGCGAGAGGCGCCTGGCACAGAGAGGGAGATTCTAGAAGAAGGGATGGAGGAACGGACACCTGGCCAGGCTGTCCAGCAGGAGAGCAAGCTCAGGAGCACAAAGCAATCCCACGCCAAGCACATGCTCCATCCTCTTCCTGTCAATTCCATGGGCACATTTGAAAAAGGTACTGAGGCTGAGTACTGCTGAAAGGTACTGACGTGTGGAGAAGCCAGGAAACCGTACCTGTCAATTTCCACTCCGTGACAATTGGTCATATGGCCATTGTGCAAGCCCTTCATTTTCGTCACTCAAGCAATGCCATCAATGCCTCAAGCCTGCCAAAACACATTTCTAATATACTTAATCCCTCACGCCCCTCCTCACAACCAGAAACCACTCCTACCAACTCACACCTCTCAGAAAGAAGAGCCAGCTTTAAATCAACCCTTCAGCAAAGCTTGTCCTAAGGCTAGAAAGGGAGGAGGAGGAGGGACAGAGGGTTTGAATTCTGCAGACCCCAGGTTGACCCCTCTGTTCAACTACTGTCCACACCCTTCCCCCACCTCTGGAGCACCACAGTAGCCAGGAATGACCTCTAAGGTAAGGAATGACCCAACTTGGCACATTCGGTACAGCCCCCCAAACCAAAACCCAAAAACCAGAGAATGCAGTCAACTCTACTTACAACAACCAATGGACCCTGATTTGCAGCTCTAAGAAGTATTTGGAAATAAATGAAGATCTATCTTATTCTGACACTTGGCTAATTAATTTGATGTACTGCTTCCTCCCAGTAAGCAATTATAATCTCTCCAGGGCCTCACACTGTCCTTACTTATCCTTGAGCACAACTGTGGCCATCATGCAGATCTACTACTAGATAAAACTTCGGGACAGCACAGCCACCCATAGGCAAAGTGAAGACAAGGGCACACCCGTGGGCGGACCCCTGGGTCCACCACAGCTAGGTGAGGAGGGAGCCGAGAGCCAGCCCTGTCCTGTGTCATGAACCCCAGTGTGAGCAAAAGAGAGATCAGAAATCCATCTCCACCACACTCCACAACTGCTCGGGTCGGCAAGTGTCTGTGACCACAGGAACCAAAGTGGAGGGTCATGGAGACTCATCTGTGGAATGGGAGTAACTTTTCTGGCTTTGCTGCAAAGCCTCGTATCTGCTAAAGAGGGGTCATGAGTCAAGGGTTCCAAAGAGACCCCTGACACTCCATATGGTCCCCCCCACCCCAAGCATTGCCAGGAGTGACCCCCTGAATACAGAATCAGGTGGAAGCCCTGAACACCAGTTTGTGGCCCCAGAACAACAAGTTCCTATCAACAAAATTTATGGTCAAGAATGCTGGCTGAACGATCCTTTTTTGGGTTCTTTAGCATGATGAGTGGCTGTTCACATGTTTGAGTGGCGTGCTCCTTTAAATCCTGTTACACACTTGGCACACTATCCATCTGCCGTGAACTCAGGGAAAAAAATTTAAAAAAGACATTGGCTGAAGTATGAGGTATAATCGCAAAAGTTTCAACAGACGCAAACACCAGAAAGGTCTAATAAAATGTGGTTGGTCTCAGATAACAGAGTATCGTGGCTACGAAAGAATGCTGAATTTGCATGGGACAATACTCAGGATGTATATGATAAAGAAGTTAAAAATAGAGCAATATAGTCTAAGGATGCACAAAAGTGCATACAGGGATGCGGAATAGCGGGGGTGGGGTCTATGATGAGGGTAGGGGGGTCTGTGGTGAGATGGGAGGTTACGACAGGGAGTGGGGGTCTCTGACGGGGAGGGGGTCTATGACAGGTGGTGCCGTCTTTTCAGCCGTTATGTCAATAAGCCTAGGGGACATGCTGGGTTACAGTCAGGACGCTGACACGGTGGGAAAGAGGGAGCCCACACTGCCAGCATGCTGGCATCGGGCCACCTGGAACCTAGACCTGGGAAGCTGGGTACAGTGGGTGCGCCCCAACATCAAGAGAGGAAGGGTCTGGGACAGTGAGACGGGCGTGCGGCCTGTAACCGCAGGGGGCATGTGAGGGATCAGTCCCCGGGAGTTCTGATTTGCACTGAGTCCTGAGTGTTCCCGTCCATGTGGAGGTCAGCCGAGTGCCCTTCTTCAGATTAGAAGCCAAGGACACTGGAACAATAAGAACATTCTTTCCTGAATGACAGAGGGCATTCCCCACTCCCAACACACACACACACAGACACACACACACACACTCTCTCTCTCTCTCTCTGTCTCTCTCTCTCGGTCTCTCTCTGTCTCTCTCTCTCTCTCTGTCTCTCTCTTTCTCTCTCTCTACACTCTCTCTCTCTCTCTCTACTCTCTCTCTCTCTCTTTCTCTCTCTCTCTCTCCCTCCCTCTCTCTCCCTGTATAAAGGACTAAGTCCTGAAGTCCATTAGGTGGACCTGAGCAAAGCCAGTGTACTGGCACGGAGAGTACCACCCCCCCTTCCCCACTCTCCAGCCCCCGCCGACAAAATCATGGACCCGTGAAAGTGGTCTTATTCGGAAACAGGGTCTTTGGAGACCTGGTCAAGATCAAATGAAGTCATCAAGGGAGCAAACAGGGGGTTCCAGGGACATGTGGAAGGAAACTGACATTCTGGTGGTGGGTGTGATGTGGTCACACTGTACCCCTAAAATCAACTTCCCTGCACTCTAGCGAACCGTTACCTTGATTTAAAAAAAAAAGCCCTAAATCAATGTGATTCCTGTCCTAGTGGAAGGAAATCTCTCTCTCCCCATCTCCCCCTCCCGTGTCTGTCTCTCTCTCTCTCTACTCTCTAACTCCTGTTCTAGAAGGAAATTCTCTCCTTCTTGCCTCTCTCTCTCTCTCTCTCTCTCTCTCTCTCTCTCTCTCTCTCTCTCTCTCAGAGACAGAGACAGGCACCAGAGTGAAGAATTCACAACCCAAGGAACACCAAGGGTTGGCAGCAACCGTGGCTTCTCCCGCAGAACCCAAAAAGAAGGCAAGCCTGCCGCAACCTTGATTTCAGGCTTCTGGTCCCTGGACGAGTGAGACAGTAACCACTGTCTAAGCCGTGCTCCTGCACAGAGGGCGGCCCTGTCCTGAGTAGGGAGCCCTGCAGGCTGTAAGAAGGGGCAGGCTCAGGCCAGTTGGGGGGTGGGGGATGAACTACAGACAGATAATTGACAAAATTAATACCTTCTGGATAACCAGAACCAGATTTCTCACTACACCATACGGTGGGTAGGGATAAGGCACAAACCCCAGTAACCCCACGTGGACCCCCCACCCCCGCCAGTCCTGGCCCCTAAGATTGGGAAAAAAATCAAATATAGAAAGAAACTAAACTAACAGTGTTGTCATTAGAATTGGAGAGAATTCATGTTTGTCCTATGTCGAGATGAATACGGAAGTAAATACAGATGTAAAAAGCGTGTCCACACATTCAACACAAATATGTAAATAGATCAGCTCTGTCCCCAGAGAGATCAGGGGCGGCAGGATGCTGGTGGCATTCTATGCAGGCAGTGCTCACATGATAGCTTCTAACGACCCCTCTGCTGAACGGAACGAAGGCCTCTCAGGGAGAAGGACTCAAGGGCTGGCACAGGGAGGGCAAAATGGGAATCCGAACCGTCCGAACGAGCAGCGGGCTCAGAAAGCAAGGGAATACTCCAAGAACGACGGAAGAAGAAAGCAAGCAACTGGACGGGGCTAATGGAGACATCTGGGCAGTGAATGGCCTCATGACAAAAATGTGTCACAGCCCAATGGACACAATATAAAAAAGGTAAAGAGAAGAGAAATCCTTTCCACAAAATAGAATGGCCGTGACTGAACTGGCCACCACTTGGGAGCTATCATAAGAACTGGTACAGAAATCATCAATGGATCCTAAAACCAACGAATGGCAGGTCAATGAGAAATGGGATACTTCAGTCCCAGAGTGCCACCCAAAATACAGAGGTACAGGACAAACACATACATGCTTGGGCACACATGTAGTGCTACACGGAAAAGAATTCTTGCACTGCTCAGGGACTCCTCCTGGCTCTGCACTCAGGGACCGCGCCAGGCAGTGCTTGAGGGATGAAACCTCAATCGGCTGCGTGCAACGCACGCACTCAGTGCTGGGAGTCATCTCTCCTGCCCCAGAAAACTTTTAATTTTTTTAACAGAGCGGAAAGAAGATAATGGAGTCTCTAATAAGTAGCCTCTTCATCTAACAATGATCAAGGAAGAGCACTGGTCAAGGAGCAGGGCCCGTTGTGCACCGCCTGCAGAAATTGCCCAACTGGAGTCCGGTCATCAGCACAGGGCCAGCAAATTCTGTGGCAAAGGACAAACAGCTGACTTGTCTGTACAGAATGACAGTACGGCGGGGAAGGTGCTGGCCAAGGATGCAGCTGACCCAGCCTGGAGACGCAACAGCACCCCATAGGGTCCCCTGACCACAGCCATCCCTGAGCACAGACCCAGGAGTCAGTCTGGGTACTTGAGAGCATTTGTGCAAATACCGCAAACTCTAGAAAACTCCCCCCACCCCTTCCCCGACGCCGCCGCGGTGCTCTGAATGAAACTGCAGCTTGTTCTTAATCCGGGGGCAGCTGGAATAGGCACATGCGAGACAGGGCTCTCCATCCGTCCAGGAGCCTGGCCATCGGGCCCAGGGATCTGACAGGGAATCCCTTCTGGGGGAGGAAGATAAGGAACGACCTTTAAATTGTAGTTGGGGTAGAAATAAAAAGTGAAAGAGCCCGAGGCCGACTTGTGCTGGAGCAGGATTTAAGCATCCCAGGCTCACCTCTGGTGCAAAGGCAGGACGAGCCCGGGTTCAGTTTCTTGAGGTTTCCAAGCAAAAAGGCTCTTTTCCGGCGGCGTGGACTCCCCTCCCCGGGAAGGGAACAGAGACAGAAGTGCCCATTCCCAGCCTGCCACTGCGCTTCATTCTTTTTTTTCCTATCCAGCCCTGAGAGGGTCCACGCCCCGTATTTTCTGAAGACTTCTGAGGCCAGTGCCAAGTTGACTGGAGCCCCCCAAGGCTGCCGTCCTCAGCGTGCTCCCTTGCCCTGCCAATCACCGCTTCTCCTTCTCACCGACTTTCCTTCAAGCCCTGAACAAGGGAGGGTTTTTTGTTTCTTTTTTTTTCCCAGCACTTTACCTCAACTTGTAGACTAAGGAAGCCTGAATAAACCTTCAGTAGGACTTGCTCGCTTTGGCCTGGAACTTTCTGTGAGGACTTCGCAGTACCCAGCAGAACACACACTGACTGTTCTCCCAGGGAAGAATGACAGCACTGTGAGAACAGAAAGTGAAAGTGGTGGGCCCTGACACCAACGCCTTCCTTCAGCCAAGTGTGGCCCGCACCCCTGCGTCCCCACCCCCGGCTGCAATCTGCCCCCACAGTCAGAACACTCTGGTTAAAAAAAAAATCATAAGGGGCCAGGCCAGGGGGTAGGGCGTTTGTCTTGCATGCACCCAACCCAAATTCCATCCCCAGCACCCCAAAAGGGATACCAGAGCAGAGAGCCAGGAAAAAGCCCTGAGCACCTCAGGGGCTGGCTCCAAAAAAAAAAAAAAAAACAAAAACGTAAGTAAAAGGGAAGGAGAGCCTGAACAGGCTTGAGGACCGCTGGCCCTGTTCAGTGCCCAGCATGGCACGTTTGGGAGGTCCCCCCTGAGGACCACCTTCCCAGCACCACAGACCACAGACTGTGTCCTCAGACCCAGCACTCACTCATGGCCTGACAGGGCTGGCTGAGAATAACCGGGAGCCCCCGCCGACACCTCCCCGACTACCAACCCACTTTCTGAGAACTGCTTCAAAGGATGTCCCCACCATTGCGGCAAAAAAAAAAAAAAATTTAAGTGCACAAGTATGAGCCACTGCAAAGTACAACTGTCACAGGCACTGGCTCCCGCTTGCCTCCCTCCACTGTCCTTGTCCCCAACCCCTGGGCCAGCGGGCCTACATGGCCTCAGACTCAAGAGTACCCCCTGACTCACTGGCTAATGCTCGCGGTTCTGCAGGGGTCAGCTTCAAATTTACATTGTCCAGTGTGGGAGGCATGTGGGCACAGGGGTGAAGGGCGTGGAGGGCAGATGCTGGGCTAGCTTGGGTATGAAACGCTGCTCATATGAGTTGCAAACCACAGTGCTCAAAATAAAAAATCTAGTTCGATCACGATCACGACCATCCTGTTGTTCGTCGATTGCCTCGAGCAGGCCCCAGTAACGTCTCCGTCGTCCTTGCCCTGAGATTTTTTAAAAAGTGCCATATTCAAGGCTCTTTCAGGGTTAGGAGAATGAGACCCATCATTGTTCCTGGTATTTGGCATATTGGGTACGCCACGGGGAGTTTGCCAGACTCTGCCGTGTGGGCAGGTTACATTCGGTAGCCTGCCAGTTTGTCCAAAGAATGAGATAGTAAGATGTCGCGCGGCCGCAAATGCGGCCACACACTTCCGGGAGCTGGGTTTTA